CACCCCCCCCCACACCCCACCCACTCATCAAAATTGTATTCAATCAAAGCATTACCCCCATTGCTTTCGGGACAAGCGATCGAAACAGGCGAGTTATCTTACTAAATCATATAAACCAGACGGGAGTAAAAAGTCCAGCGAAAGGATTTTTCGGACCTTCGAGTCAATACGAATATTGGAGAAAAACATTACTGAAAAATAAGAATGATTTTTGTCTAGCATGCAACGATCGAATTTTATGTTATCTAATTTGGAAATAAACAAATCGAGGACTTTGGTTGGATCTGGTGGCAGCAAAACGGTGAAGAGCTCATTAAGCGTGTTTTCTTATTCTTGATTGATTGATTTCCTCAAAAGAAATAAATTTTATTGGCATAATCGGACGGTGGGGGGGGGGTTTAAATTTATAGGCTGTATTGGCTTATTACTACGTATTACCACGTTGCAAGACTTCAATTTTGTTAGCATAATGACTGAAACTCTGTAATAGAGAATTTTCGTGAGATGTAATTGAAATATTGTTCAGAATGCCGCGACTTTGGAACAAATGCGGATCAAACGTCACTAAGCAGAGGAATCTGCTAATACTTGAATTGAGTTGGATGCGTTACACTGAATTACTGAAATCTCAAGGGTATCCAGAGCAACTGGGTGGATTTAGTTAAGCTTTCAGCACAGTTGTTGAATAAAGGGGGACGGTGAATCTGAAGAACTTTACAAATTCCAAATACTCTCCTTGCATAAAGTAGTTATTATATTATCGACGCGTTATGACGTGTTGAAGTGCTTATCGAAGTTCATAGTGAATACTTTCAACAATTATTTTGAGCTATCAAATGTTCAGTATGCTATTATTAGTAATATTTAGCCTTTACTCCTTTTAAATAAAAATGTTCCATTATTTTGTCTTTGAATTCACAAGGTATCTAGTCAGCATGATGTCATTTTGGGGAGTATTTTAGCAAATTATATTGATGTTAATAATCTTTGATGGATGGATGGATGAATGGATGGATGGATGGATGGAAGAGGATTTGAGTTCAGATTAACAACACGGATAAAAATTTTCATTAGCTAAGTTTCTGGTGAAGTATGCTTAATTTCAAATCGAAAATATGAAATAAAGTTATTATTTCGAGGATATTTTAATAACTCCAAGCTTGAGAGATACTTGGACTTGTTTTAATCGTAGCGGATAAGTTTTGCGTAATTCGCAATCCACTTTGTTAGTGTAAAGTGTCATTGGAATAAACTTCTAAACAGTTTGAATGGAATAGAAATTAAGTTTAATGATTGACAAAAATGGCAAAAGTACATTTATCAGGTCATCACTCTGACTGACATTTTAAGGGCGTGAATTTTTCGACCAATTTTTTTCCAACTATCACGTGATAATGAAAAATGCGCTTTACAGAACGCTTAACAAATCACGGATATTTACGGATATTTAGCGAAGGCAACAACTTCAAGAAAAGGAGCCGGTGGTCACTACTTGCTCCAATTGGCGGCCTCTAGCAAGTAATTATTGCCCTTGTCACACTTACCCTCTACCCAACACACAATTCCCCCCCCCCCCCCTTCAACAAACCTATCAAAATGAAAATAGGACTCATTTGCTTAAAGGAAGTGATAGGCAAAAAAGGAGATAGTGGAGAACGAAGAAGGGTGGAGATTCGGCTATCCATCGCCCACGCTTGTTTGCCCATTGAAGTAAATAACTGATAGGGGCCTTAGAACGCGAAGACTGTTTATTCGTCCACTCTGCGCACGTATATCCAAGCGTTCACACAGAAATGCACACTGCACTTGGAGGTGCGTCCGTATACTTAAAGATGTGCGAACATTTAAAGTTAAAAGCCTCTCCTAGGCTTTGGGTTCCCCGGTAAGTGTGCGGACGTATGAGTGTGAATTAACGCGTGGTCTCAGAAAGCGCATTCTATTGTCATCGTCATAGTCACATCAGTTAAATCTGCGGAACACGCACCTAATGCTGTTAAGGGCTAGAGCTGTCAAGGACTTAACCATTACAGCATAGTACCACGACAATAATTTTCCTTACACTTCCCTTCAAACGTGGACCTATTTTACCACTAATGCGGTTTTTCATAGTCGGAGAATTTGACCGCCGATAACTCACAACAAATGCCCATTTCCTACCTCTCGAGCACTTTGCTTCTGCTCAAAGGCCTCTTCCGAGGCAAAACCTGTCAACTCTTCTTCTTCCAGTTTCTCCGTAAGTCTCACTTCGAAGTATCAGTTTATTTACCACTATCACCTTTTCTCGACCAGTAAACTCTTTACTTGCTTTCTAAACTGTGCATGCCATTCCTATTTTAAAACTTCAAGAGATACCAAGATTCCATATTTACGATTAGCTTATCTCGATGTTAGGCTGCACAGTGTGTAGGCTGTATCAAAGGGCATTCGGCTCCAACTTATTCGTTTTTGAATCTTTTGACCTGAAATTCATTGAGTACTTAATAGTGATTTTTCGTGGGCTTACGACATGAATTAACAAGTTTTGTGGTCAATTCCCCAGTTCTTCCATATTAATGTGCCCCAACTCAAAGATCTCAATTTGTACAGCAAATGAGAGAGTGATCACCCCCCACATACAATCATCTTCAAGATTCTGACTTATGTTCGTGAAAGGGTGAATCTCTTTCCCAATTTTTCCGATGTCCACAGTATGCCCTAGGTCTCAATGCCAAAAAAATAGCTGTTCAGGCTGAACGACAACCAAGTTCGAAACGTAATCAAATGGAACAGAGTTTTTGTTGCAAGGTTTGTCCTGTTTTGGCCAAATGGCTAATTGTAAACTCTCATAACCACAAAACATTGTGTTTATTTCAATTGTGATCATGTATAGAAAAAAATAAAAAATAGTAGATTTAAAAGTACTGACAAATTAATAATTTCCCTTTTGAAAGTGCGTTTTGTTTTAACCTCTTCCTTCCGATAGTTTTTGATCCAAAAAAAACTGATGCATCACACATAAGTCCTTGTTGGACAACTTGAAGTGTTTCGCTGGAATCTGCCTTGAAAGCATTTCAAAATTGTCAACGAAATTTGCGGCCTCTCACTTTCAAGGATTTTAGCTATCACACCATTAACGGCGACCGTTTACAGGGGGGGGGGGGAAGCAACATTTTCAACTTCGTAGAAATTTCATATATTAAAAGTGACAAAGAAGAATAAAATCTAAATTATAATTTTCTTACTTATACAGCATTTTAAAGTCTAAAGCCGCCCCAAAATTCTCCATGAAAGGTGGTTAATAGAATACAAGTCAAACTCCTAGTGTAACTATAATGGAAGTAAACCAAAGTAATGGGATCCACTTAAAGAGTTTTTTGAGGTAATAGTGATCAAAGTCAAGTATGGCTATATGGTTGGAGAATCACCGGGAAGAGATGCGGATTAGGGAGATGATTTTAGCGTCAGGCCGAAGCGAAAGGAAGAGTCAATCTACTGACTCATACTTCCCAACCGTGACGCATCACCCACCATATGACTGCTGTTCCTACTTGCCCTACCCTACGCTACAAACCCTCCAAGGCCCAATTGCAAAAATTCCCCCACTTCCCCTCTTCTTCCTGAAAGTAGCTTTATAAGTGATGCCCTTATATAAGTGGTTTCCCGAATATAGCGGGAGAGGAGGAGGGGGGGGGGGGGATGGGAGGAGATCTTAACCTGCTGTCTTTCAAGCAAAATTCCACGAGTCTTCATATTATCCTGTTCTGTGATAAAATGTGCTTTGATTTATAATTTCTACTGCAAGCCTTAGATTAGAGGCTATTTTATTCATTAAGCTTCACAAATGGACCGAACTCGACGCCACTAAAAGCCTGGCCAATCAATATCGATAATCAATCATTTAATCAATATAGTAGCTTCCGCTGAAAATGTCTTACATCAATACATATTTCTTCCATAATGTCCACTTCTGTTAAGTCAATGAATTTCTGCGACCATTACTTGTGGTCTGTCTTAGAACCAGAATCTTTTCTTTTTTGGCCACGTTCTTCTGCAATATACATTTAGCAAAACGATGTCAAGCACAGGTGCACTTTTCTGACCTCCCCCCCCCCCCCCCCTACCCAATGAGGAATTGACTCGGTCTATTTTCCAAGGATTGGGCGCTCTAGGAGCAGCCACACTCACGTGAAGGGTGGCATAAAGTCGTGTCCATGGTGTTTACACCTTTCACTGGGCCCCAACCCTTTCTTTCTTTGTCATTAGATATAAACATTTGAACCCTCTGCATGCGCTTCCGCTCTTTACACCGAGCTTTGTGCACAACAATTTAAACTGCTTATTTAGTGGTAATTTGGCTGTTCACAAGTCATTAAAGTGGTCATAAAATGGGTTGGTGGGGGGGGGGGGGGGGTTATTTCCTTTACAGGCTTCTCATTCGAACAATTGACTCCGGGGTTAAAATACAATTTAATCTGATATCTATGCAACTTGGATGATTTGCGGCCTCGCGTCTGTGTGTCATCTTTAATTAGTGTCAAACATCGCATGATATTCATCCAACCTCTTCAATGGCCTATTTAATTAGTTGAATAGTATTCCAGAAACCATAAAACAAATTTTGGTCGTACAATGTTCAGCTTCGTAAAATACACTGATATAGGTAGCTATTTAGCTTCCAAGCCCCCTTCATAAGCTTGGCTTCTTCTAAGTTCGATTCCTTTCTTCTGCAGTTCATTAGTCTGGCTCTTATGCACATTTCACTAAGTACTTTAAAAAAAGCTCATGTGAATGGTGCACCTCATGAAACAATTTTTTGAAAAGTAGAAAATACCTTTTTTCTCATATCATCAAAAATTTTAAAATATCCCTCAGCCGAAGATTTCTGATGAAATTATTCAAATAATTTGAAATAAGGTGCGTTTGAAGCATTCATTATCACACTTTTTATTTTGATGTTTTGATATAATAGTCGTTATTTAATTCGAAATTAAAACATAGTTTAATTATCATCATTCCACCCTGGCAAATTAGCTCTGATCAAACGAACACAAAAAGGACATTATTTACTTAATTAATAATTTAATTATTACTTACTTTATGGAATTGCAATTTTGCGCTTGGTTCACTCTCGTTAAAGAAATACTAGTCAAAGTGCTTCATTTGAGATCCTATTCGAAATTATGTATTCAATGAAGAAAAGTAAGTTTAAAGTTTACTTTGCAATAAGGAAATAGAGTACTTGAATATTTGGTCAACTGTTCCTTTTAAATTCGCAGTGTAGGAAAAATTTCCATTTAAATATATCAACTCTGTTCCCAACGCTCACCCCAGTTCTATGAAAATCAATTCATAAGAAACTCCCCCCCCCACACCCACCATTTTTTATCTTGCTTTCAAGCAGGAATATTTTTTGGGGTTTTAATGATTATGGCGCCTTTACTGAGTCACTATACAATATGAGTCATGGGAAACATTCTTCCCTAAGGAACAACCCAGCAATTTGGTTGGAGGAAAAAAACAATCGGAATAAGCAAAGGAGAAATTCAAGACACACATGTGGTTTTATTTCTGCCTTGAAGTTCGGGGGGTGGGGGTGGGGAATAAGACGCAGTTCTTTATTTAAAGTGACTAAGCTTTATCAGATTAAGTAGTTTTAATTCTACTGCATATTTGCAAACTACGTCGTGATTACAATGCATTTGCAGAACGGCTCCTGCATGCAAGCATGAAAGATATACCAGTAAGGAATCAACGGAGGGAGGGGGACCACATAGTGAGTAGTGAATAAGGTCAGTTCATGAAAGGGTGTCAGTTTTATTCCTCAATTGGTTAGAGTTTTTCTTAAATTTCATCGTCTCAAACTTTAGGCGTCATAAATTGACTACTAAGTTCTCAATCGGATAAAGTAAGCTCAGTGCTATCATTTCGATACATTTGTCACACTCAATAGACACGAATGAAAGGGCCTTTCACCTATAAGCCTTTACCCTAATTGAACTCGAATCCCTATCAAATTACCCACGATTTTGTTTCCCTAGTTATCGCCTCGCTGACAATAAGCCTAGCCTGTGATCCTTCCGATTTGCCCAAAGGCACTCGAGTAACTGCACACGGACCGGTGCTCAAAGTTCTCTGCGAGCCTGGGCTGCAGGCATTTGAGATGACCACCACCACCACCACCACCCCCATGCCTACCACCACCAGTAATGACAAAAGCCACCTCCTTCCCACTCCCACTAAAAAGAGATTCGCGCGGTTTATTTGCATGTATGGCACTAGCTACCAGCGTATCAAACCCGATGGCGTTGATTCTACCCTCTTCTTCTGTGCTGGTGAGTGAGATTTGTCAATTGAAAAGAAAATCCTGGTGCATATTGTGTTCATGCATGATTGAATTTTCGCATATAAACTATGGTCTATGATCTTTGCACTTGAATCAAGTGTTTGTACCCAATGGTTAAAACTATCTTATTTTAAGTAAAATAGGATAAAAGTTAAGTCAATATATATTTAGATGTCCAAAACATGTAAAAATCAGACTTTTTTAATTAGCGAATTATAACTTTACTTTTAATTAATTAGTCTCCATTTTTTGAACTCAGAACTTGTACAACAATCAATGTCACAAAATAAAGAATAGCGTTTATATGCGCATAGACCCTTCAGTTTCACTTACTCATTGTTGCCATGTTGATAGTAATAACAAAATATTAAGTATATACTTATGCATTTGTTCATTTCCTCTCTTATATCGCTTCCTTATTTGCATTTGATTAATAGAAAACGCTGTGGGTTTTTTTGCGCATGCTAGTTAGTTTTTTGTTGACTTTCGCAACAATGAAAAGTGCATGGCATTTTTGCTCTACCATGGGAGCTAAAAACACCAATTACGATGTAATTACTTCATTTACCGACACAGTCCGTAAAGAGGCTTTTAAGAGCGGAATGTGAGGGAGTTGAAGAATGCCTTGCTGCCTCTATCCCCCCCCCCCCCCCCCCCCCCCCCCTCCTTCCCCCTGACCCTCCCCCCTCCCCCCTCCTATCAGCATAAATTAATAGCTTTCTGGCCTTCAAGATGCAGTCTTCAGAAAATGGACATATGGAGTAAAACCTGTGAAACATCTCACATGATATTTCTTCCTACAGTAGTATTGAAAATGCTGATCCACTCTGCAAATTCATCAGATGAGGAGTGCAATTCCAATTATATAAATATGATTACTATGACGAAACTTGTCCAGCATCATATGAGCAGGGACTTTTGTGGATTAATTAATTAATCATGGATTGGGGACAAATGATATAAAGTGACATAAACATTAGGTACAGCAAAGCGCCAATTGCAAAGAGTAATATCTAGCCACAGTGAGAATGCCCATAAATTACCTCTATTTTTAATGGAAAATTAAAAAGATGTCCTATTACCCATATTTCTCAAAGGATCTCGCAAAGGAAGTATAACTGTTTGGCGAACATTAGCCTTAAATTTACCGAGGACAATCAATCAATTTTTGCGGTGGTTCTGTATAAATTGAATTGTATCTGTCAATTCATTCAACTGTACTAACAAAAATTGTTTCGATAGGCTTAATCATCTGGATATGCTAGGCTAAAAATTTTGCTCTAAACAGACAGATTGAAGGAAATGCAGGGGATGTTTAAATGTGGTACATGAATTATTATATAGCACTTTTAAAACTAGGTTATCACAAAATTTCCAAAATAGCTAAAAGTGCTGTCAATTGTATGGAGTATTTTTATCGTTCTTCGTTGATTCTCTACACTAGATAAGGTGAACACCGAATGTGATGATCTTGAATACTCTTCAAAATATGGCCATTTGGTAATGGAGGGCACAGTAGCAATATGGCAGCCGGTATCGTCCAATGAATCTCAAAGAATCGTTCTTTACTGCTTGTACGGTACTTGGTATCAACTTAATGGCGAATCCCTACCCCAAGGTAAGTAAAAGGCTTCCGTCTAGACTTTCTACTTCTTCTTCTAATAGACGGTACATCCGTTGACCCGATTTTCTCCTGATTTAGAGTTAATTGTTAAGCACAAAGAGAAGAAAGAATCGACAGCCCTACTTCCGACAATGGCAACTGCAACAGCAACGACACTGCCTAATGCCATCGAGAAGAATTTAGGGGACAGTAGTGAACCTGTGCTACCGAATCTTGAGTCTCCAGAGCAGAATTCGACGCTATTAAACCCTTTCCATCTTACAAGTCTCTATCTACCTCCTTTCTTGCTACCACGAACAACAGCAACAACGACTCCCAAGCCCATAACCCTCGCTGAACATGAAAACTCCCAAAATACCTATTTTCCGCAAAGGGATATAATTGTAATTGCCCAAAGTATCTCCCTTGCCCTTCATGACAGTCTGCATAGATGTACTCGTATTGCCTTTTATTGTATGCTTGTTATAGGAATAATGACCTTGCTTATCGGTCTGGTGATCTTTTTTTACCTATGTCGACGAAGAGCTCTATTAGCTGCTGATGCAAAAGAGGCTCAAGTGCGGCTGAAACACTCGATTTCAGTGGTCTGAGTTATTCCGACTTCTACGTTTTCCTCCACTACCCCACCTCTCCTCGTCCCATCACCCACCACCAACTAATTCCATTTTGTACAGGTGTAATAGATTGCACACTATTCCCGACCCTTGCTCTTATTCCTTCCCTCGAACTGTACATAAGCACTTGCACAAACCAATATGATGCTTTTACTTCTTCTCCGACTCCTGAAAAATGCCAGCCTTTTCTTTTATCTCCTATGCAGCGAATGGACCATGTCTTCCTTCTCTCCACGCCATAATGTAAAACGCACTTCTTTGACTGAGGCGTTAACGCACAAAGAGATAAACTAGATTTATGCTTTATTTATAAGCTTGGGTTCTACCGTATACTTCTAAAGGGGGGGGGAATTGTGAAAACATAGGCAATGCATTGGAGTTTAAGAGCAGTAAACACTTAGCCCATTCCTCATCTCCCCCCCCCCCCACCTCCCCCAGGGTAACTCGTGCAGTACCTATGTTCCTAAATGTTGCTTCCAGATCACAAATCCTCTATTATAAGTGAAATGAAGAATATAAGTGTCTTTCAAATGCAAAATTAAATTAACGAAATGCGTACTGCTCTTAACATGATTAGGAAAAATTGTATTTTAACTATGATCATGAGTCTCTTCTGCACGCATTTTTTCTTTCTCTCCAGGAAGGGAGTTTCCCCATTTGAAGGCGGGGAGGGGGGGGCGGTGGGCGGTGGGCGGTGCTGTGCTGATAATTGTGAATTTTGGCTCGGACAATCTCATATTGTCATTGGGCATACAAATAACTGACGTTATTTTAACGCCAAATTGATATGCTCCTTTCACAAGGGTGTCAACCACCGAGCATACATGAGCTCACATTTTGTAGACAAGCATTCTAACCTCCTTAGATGCGAAAGCTGAAAAACCGATACAATTTCATTCTTTCCTCATTTTTTTATTCCAGAATTAGCTCTAATTACACATAGTATCTCCTTTCAAACTATATTTCGATGCTAGGCTTACCCAAAGCCGAGCAAATGCGCGTATTTTTTACCATGGGAACATATCTGGATACGGAATAGAAGTAAGGAAAGATTTAGGAGAGGAAGTAGAAGCAGAGCATAGAAAGAAGTTCGAGGTTAGTGTCAGAAGGTCAACTGACCTTGAGGGATGTAGTTATTGCACTACGTCATTTTCTTGTGCTCTGAAGTTACTTAATGAATTTGAATTCATGATATTATATAATTATTGAACGCTTTTTTAGTGTCACAGGCACGTTATTATCGTCTAATTGCCTACATCAACAGGTGAAATTTAGTTAAAAGAATGTTGGCATTGTTTTACATAAAGGTTCACCTATTAATCACTCTAAACATTGGTCAAAATATTTTACTGGTTCTTACTTTAAACTTAAATGACATTTCGGATTAAGTGGAGAAAGAATTCCAACGGAGAATTTTGTGTGTGTGTATGTACGAGTGTGTGTGAAGCAAAACATATTGTGTAAGTGGTCATGATATAAACACACGTGCCAGTGATTATGATGAAATGGACGGAGAGAGAGAGAGAGAGAGAGAGGACACGATAGATTGATAGAGCGCGAGAGAGAGAGTTATCATGGGTGGATACTTCAATGCCAGTCGTCACACTGCCTCGTTGCATAATTTATCGGTATGTAGTACGCTTGTCTTATACCGAATTTAGAGCTTATAGGATCCAACTGAAACGTAGATTTTCATTAAGATGAGAAGAATTGTGCCACAATATTGACAGCAGGCCATACAATGCCAAAACTCTATGTAGATAAGAAACAATTTTAGTCACCATGCTAGTATAGCCCTCACCATTTCTACAACAGTGGAAATTAATGCGCTATAACAGATTAAAATGTCACTGAAATATTCTATAGTGGTTCATATGCCGATATTATTTTCTCGAACTGGAGCAAGGGAAAGATTGCGTCCTCTGTCAAAACACCGGGGTCGGAAGTTAATGCAGCTTCAATAAGCAGAGGAGAGGTTAAGGAATGGAGGAAATGACATTTGACGTATCTAGACATACTCCTGCGCAAAAACTCCTTTTTTGGAATAATTTTTTCTCCAGTTTTTTTACGCCAACATATTTCTGCGATTTTTAGAAATAAACTGCACTATGTGGTGATGACCTTTGGCTTTGTTTAACTTAATTGTCAAATCAGGTCACAGTAAGATGTTTTGCACACTTTCAATGTCTCTCGAGCGCTGTAGAGATGCTTCAAGAAACTCTTCATTTCTTCCTTACTCATCTCTCGTCCAAGGACACCATGGATTCATCTAAACAGCTCACTGTTTGAAAATCGAGAAAGATTATTCCATTCTCTTTGCTCAGTCTGGGATTGGAGCCATTTTAACTATTGTGAGAATTGCAAGAGGCTGCTACTTCTCTTAAGATATTTATGTTTGCGGCATTGAACATTAAAGACCTAATTCACAATTTATTCATTCATTTGTTCAATAAGTTGTCAAATAAAGAACTGGACAAATAATGATCACCTAAGCTTGGAACTTTAAACGAGGAAATAAAACTTTGGCAGCAATATTAACATTAAAGAAAGCTAGCTGCTTTGAATAAAGAACACACATTGGGAATTGAAGAAACGAAGACTACTTGCAGACATCTACGACAAAACATGCATATAAGAACGAGCCAATCGATAATTTCTAATGTGTTGCTCTATTTTCGAGGTCATAAGCGTGAAATGGCAATAAAAGTCTTCTTGCGAATTTCCTTTATGACGATTTATTCCTCAAAATCCTGACGGAGATAGGATATTGCACCGCTTAAAATCATTACTTCAATATCTTGATTCTGGGGGTGTGCGATAGACTTACCTCCACGTGGTGCACCCTGGGCAACGTATACTCATACGGCAAAAAGGTCTATTATCCGGCAATTGACTTCTGACTTCAACCTACCATGGGCCCACTGTATTTCATGTTCGACCCCTTCCACAGTACTCATCTTACATTTTCTCCGCCGTTGTGTCAGTCTGTCTGTCTCTTTTATATCTGTAAATCATTATTCTTTCTCCCACCGCTCGACTTTCTGTCACTTTGATGTTCCTCCTCTCCGTGAAGCCCGAAGTCAGCTAAAGGGCTAATGGTAACTATCAAAACGCCTGCCATTCGAAATAAATAAATATCTTGATTCTTGAATCCCAATCGAGCCCAATTGTAAGATCCTTTTTAAGGTAATTTAAATAGGTTCCTAGTTTGGGGCTAGGGCTGGGGGGGGGGAGATATTTATTGTTATTTTAGAATATTTTTGTTTTTATTGACTACCATTGGGAGAACGGTTGATAAAAAGCGTTGAATTAATTTTTGTTGTCACAATTCAAGCCCAATTTTTGTGGACTGTGAATTTTGCGCTGAAGAAGAATGATGGCTGTAAAATGCATTTCTTATTTCTAAAACTCAAGCAATAAAAAGGCAGATTACAAATTGATGTTGTTTATGCTAGCGTTACTGCGAAAGGAGGGTGAAGAATGGGTGCATCTTCAAGTTTGTGACCCCTTTAAAGTGACACACTCAAGCTCTCTGCCAAATCTAAGCCAGTTTGTTTACCCTTCCTGCACCTAAGTGTACGTTTCTCTCTCTCTCTTTTGTTGATTTAAATACATGTTTACTCTACCTCTATCTCCTAATTGTTTTATTGTCCTTTGTAAAAGGCCCGTGACAGCGTATCTTTGATCTTATTAAGCGGTATACTCGAAACGAAACCACCTTAACTCTCAAATTGGAAAGTCCGTATTCAGTGCCAAAGACAGTTCTTTACAATAATCTATTCTGCTAATTACTTTTCAAATCCAGATGTTCACGCTCCTCCATCTCCTCCCTCCCCCCCCCCTCCTCCCCTCGCTGTCCAAATAAGAACACTAGCCAGTCTTGCGAGTCCAGCCATGCTACAATTAAATAATATAAGAAAATATTAATTAGTCAAGGTGGGGTGGCCAAGAAGCTCTGAATAGACTTATATGTGCTCACTAAGGAATTACGAGAGTTAGATCAAGAAATTTGGCCTTTAGAGTATCATCGGAGAGCCTGATTATCTACCAATAACTTCCTCCTTTCCCTCGACACCTATCCCAGATTTGACTCCCTGAAATTAAATGTTTTCCCAACATAATTGTCTATAGATGCTTTTTTCGTGGACATGGATAGAGCGCATATTATTCCCATACGTTAAAGGTTAAAACAACAAAATTTGTACAGTAACAAGTTCAAAATTGCTGATCATATTACCCCCTTCACATAATATATCGGTAGAGTTATTACAATTACTTCAACTGACCTCTGGAGTATTTGAAAATGTGAGTCTTCATTTCTCGTTTGAAAGCAAATTAATATTGATATTCCCCATATTTTGTGAAGTTAATAACTTCTCAAGGGACACAAATTCAGTCCTTTGAAGGCCGAATCTTGATTGAACCCCAAATCTGATAAATCATCAAGTAGGCTCTGACGCCTGGAGAGTAAAGTTGACTTCCATAGCTTCAATTAATGAACCTATAGTTGATTCAAAGTGGTAATAAGAACTAAAAGTTTCGAAATCTCAGAACTATTATTATTTAGTGAAATACTGGCACTTTTTTCATAAAATCGCCAATTCATTTGAAAATCTATTTCCTCAAACGCTAATCAAATCCTCTCTTGTCCGGTGAGTAGGCGTTGATACCTTTAATTGACTTTCACGTCTGAAATGGAGATTAGCACATTGGCTCAACATGGAGGTCCATAAATTCCCATTATTTCGGAGTATCTCACAAGTCGATGAAGCAATGTATAAACTGCCTAACACCATGTAAGGTTAAGTTCGTCCACTAAAATCAATTCACTCTTGATAGTTTTAGGTCTTCATACTGGTTACTCTTCACCAGTTTTACGCATTTAACGATATATATGACATAGGTAACCGTTGAAATTATCTTCGCTGCCATTTATAAATACGACAGCTCAGAGGCAGAATGAATAAAATAAAAATGTAACTTTACGAAAGTTCCTCTTCGCGACTACTTCGAAGTCAATTTTTCTGGCCATATATTACACAGATCTAGAATATTATTGAATTTACTGATTGGCTAGTACTGTAGCAATGAAAAGGTCGCTTCCAGATAGATAGGTATTTAGAAAATGATCGAATAGCAAACGCATGACTTTTAAAGCCCACACGCATCGAAAATTTCATTCCTATTAGGCTCGTTATCAATTTTTTCTTAAATAAAGTCGATTATTTTTAGTTGTTTGTATGCTGTGCAAAATATACCTACCTGAAGCTATCTAAATCACAGAAATCCATCTATTATAGGTTCAGTTAAAAGGTAAATTTGTCTCACCATTAATTAACCAGCAGAAAACTCCAAATTACCACCTTTAAATGGTGGGATGAAGATGGAAGAACCTAGCTTTGCGGAACGGGATTTAGTGTTGGGTCATCTAGTGTTGAAAGAATGTACCTATTTCGCAGAAAAAAAAACATAGTGTCGCCAAAACTCCAGTTGTACATCAAGGTGAAGGAAGGCTGGGTTTAATTTAAGATTTTATTCCCAATAATTAAAGCAAATAGTGAATAAATTTCAGTATCAGAGTTTGATAATAACGCGGGCAAATGCCAAGACTCCCAACACTCAATCGATTAGTCTCGAGGTAAGTCCAAAGCCAACACTTCCCTGAGTGAAATTGGATTCAACGCTGTACGAGTGAATAGAGTAAAAACGAGCAGAGACATGATGACCATGCTACATGACTAGGTGAGGGTGGGTGGATGGATTAGCACCCTAGTGAATATGTCGGCAACTTCAAAGCCAGTGGGTTTCGGTTTCTTTCGCGGGTTTTGCGATGCATCTTATATTACCCTTCCCTTTCCTACGCTCCTTGCACACCAGGCTTCACTTTACGCATTCTGGTGCATAAATCACACAGCAGCCTAATGAAATACATTCAATAATGACCATCGCGGAGCGAAAGGTTGCACACGACTAGTCTAAGTGGGTGTGGGGAGTTGTCTGCGTGGAAATGTTTGTCACTTGACCCGGTTCGAGGATCTCAATGATGTATGAGCGAAATTGGAGTAAAAGAAATATGTCTATAATGTGATGGCGAATACATATGAGGAAATTATAGGTACTATCCGATGCCCTAGCACCATCGCTGTAATCGATGCTTACATGTATTAAGACTGATCCACTAAAGGCTGATTTATGGATTTTACAGTACAAGGCGCGGCTAATTTGAGTGGAAAGTTTCCTTTTGTTCTTCACAAGGCATTGGGATTTGTTGTAATGAATCCGTTCAAGAAATGAGAAGGTGGAATTAAAAAGACGAATTTGCCCTGGGCAACTTATTTGTCCATTACTTAGACAAAAACTTTTTGTATCATATTAGAAGTGTTCTCAGTACTTGACTTGAATAGAGGGAAGGTGACCTGGAACCTAGAAACTCACATTCTAGCATCTCTATTTAGCCATACTAAATCAGGTTCGGTCAACAACGCCACCGAATACTCTGATGAGCATTGAAGTCGCAGTCTCGGATTCGGAGGGCGGGTACATTATAACCATGACTGTCACACCGTTTTGGTCATAAGAAAGAGTTAGTTGGTGGCACAGTAGTCAACATGCACGTCTTCGAGTTCAAAGTCCAAGGGCTAATTGGATGTAGGTGCATATAATTATTAAGAAATGCCAATAAGGCCACCAATGAAATATGAAGCATAATCTCAGTGTATATCGGGAAACGGGGGAGATACGATAAATAGAAACAAGATTCTCAAATTTAAATTTAGTAAGCAAGCCTTTATTAGTTTCCCTATTTGACGAACAGATCTCATAAAAAATCGCTTTAAACTCGTAAGCTGGAAAACAAAAGTACAGAGTCCAAAATTTTAATTGCAAATGTTAACTATAGTATTAACTGACAGTAGTTCAAAAAGCTTGACAATTTGGCATAAACTTGTGGAGAAAGCACGTTTGAAAGTACTGAACAAAAAGTTTATGAAGTTGAAGTTTTTGACGTTGAATATATTTACAAACGTAGATGGTAGGCTTGGAATGAACAAATCATGAAAGAGAAAAGAGATCAAGAACCATTGTTATAATAGGTCTATTTACTTGAACGGGCCAGAGGTAAATCAGCAAAATCATCAACTATAGCCAAATTGGACCTTGATTGGGATAGTTGATTATCATCTGAGGCCTTCAAACAAAAGGATATAACGTGAATTGCAATTTATTTAAACTACTTAAAAAAATAAGTAGGCGTAACTTACCGAAAGTGAACCGGTAGATGGTTCGGTGTTAGAGACCATCGGTAGAGATGAGAAGAGAACACATAGAAAGTTGCAAAGAGAAATAGTAAGGACATCAGTCCAGTTCTTTACGAAATATCGAGCAAAGAGTTGGTGATTTTGAGGATCTTTTGTAAACGGTAGAACTGATATGACAAAATTATATTTAAAAAGAACTTAAGCCCTACCTGTCCAATTTGTCCAAGTCGAAGACGTGAGGTCAAATGCAACTTGAGTGCTGAAAAAATTATTGACATAACCGATTTGTTTGGTTTTCATGGCTTCGATCAACAGAGTCTTGTACGTATATGCTTTCAGGGACTCAAACCTCTCAGAATTTTGTTGGTTCAAAGTTGAGCCGAAGCAATCATTAAGACTCTTCCATATACGATCCAGAGCTTCACTATCCAAATCCGAAATTGCTCGATTAATGCGTTCAACAATTAGTGATGGCTGAAACTAAACTCAAAGACACATTCGAAGGTTAAACAGAGAATTACACAATCACTAAGGCTATCTGACGACGACTCGGCGTCCAAAGCAGCAAGAGTTTTTGTGTAGTTGTGCGACAGGAGATAACGTCGAACGAACTCTTCGCAAATAAATTCAGTCATTTTTATGACTTAGGTTATAAATAAATTGCAATTATTAGTCATACATTAAGCATAATTAATATAAAACAAAATTAAACTTAAATTAGCTGTATATAAAAAAAAACAAATTAGCAGGTTTTTAACTTGATTAAGAAATTAGAAGGACCACAAAATAAGAAATTTCGTCATTACCTCATTAGAAAATGCTAGTACGTATAAACCTATGAAACAACTGAACTATTGAAAATATAAAAGGGCTTTAAATTTACATGCACTTTAAAACGAAGGTCATTAGGCGGAATTGAATGTGAAACTAGGCTTAACCACCGCCTCCGAAGCACCAATCATATGCATTTAACAAAATAGTCGACCAATACCAACGCACTTAATTTAACTTTCCTGATCCGTTCATAAATAAAATTCCAAACCCATTTCACAAGCTGAGAAAAGTAGTTAAGAAAATAATAGCTTTATCAGCTCAAAATGCTAAGGGGATATAAATTTCATTACAGACAAGCAGTAAAATTGTACGAAACGCATGTCAGTAGAGGAATAGACAATTTTATCAGTACGATTAAGGAGGTATAAAAATAGATCAAAGACTCGAGATGACGATTAAGGAAGTGATGGAATTGCTAAAATCGACGAGAGTAGAAGATTATCATCCAGACTCCTTTCTACTCCACGATCATCCAACAAAAGAGCCATACGCCTGGTCCGCGCTGACATTGAAATACCAGCGGATTTTGCACCGGGAGTAGTCAAGCGAACTAATCCTCTGACCTCTAAAAGTTCACAAACACTCACAAATTCACTCATTTCCAGGGGAGTAAGGTGACCCCTCTGTGAACACACGTAGGAGTAGACATCAAACACTTGACCCAATGTAGCCTCTCGAAGGTTCTTTCTACGACGCAGGAGAAGTAGTGAAGCCAGCACGAGTTTATGATGCAGTGGCATTCCAGATAAAGCTCCCGAAGCACCGCTTGTATTGTTGAGGGCTGCTTCACCTCCAGACTATTGATTAAAGAGAAAGCATAGCTATTTTAGTGCCAATATGCTATTTCTGAACTGAGTTACCCTTAGGGTCCACTAAGTTTTAAAAGATTGCCAAGTGTATCTCATTATTTTCATTTTTCCTCAAATCTCTCACTACATACGAGTAGCTGATGATTTTCTACTTGACATAAACCAATTAATAGCCATTCCCATAAGTAGATCATCGCTTTGAGCAGATTCTCAAGTCCACGTATTTTGGCTTATCATTTTTGCTATGGATCACCAGTTGCGTGGAGGCATCAAACATGACCGCACTTAATGCAAATATTCACCTAACAACAATTTTATTACACTATAGTTAGTGATCTTTAGCAAGTTTAACACAAACAGATTCCTGAGAAAGTTAACATTTAGCTTACAATGCTAAAAAGTTATACTTCATAAGGGAAAAACCCAAACCATCCAGAATGAAATTAAGATCATCTAAACTCCAACGCCATTACCTGACAGAATTGGACGTCAGTTTTAACCAGTTATTTGCTATTTTAAATAACAATTAGAAGCAGAGTACGTTGTCACATAGACCATTAAGACAGAATTCCAACTTACTTGCGCTTCACGAATGGCTCGGCTAATGTGTTTGATTGTTGGAACAACAAATTCTCCTGCACTTTGTTTACTTCCCTCAGGTATATTGATCAATTTTGAAGAGGGAACTTGGAGCGACTTCTTCTTGAGGGAAATTCGGACAGAAGGACTGGACATTATGCGCTGTTGGAGGGGTGTGAGATTTCTGGAGACAATTGGACTAGCCTCAAGGACAGCATCACCAGGACCGGGCTGTTTAGAGCAAGCCTCCAAGCGGGCTAATTCCAAAGCACGTTGGCAGATGGCCAACGCCGTTCGAACATCGCCTGATGAGGCTGCTACCTAGGAGAAAACTAAGTTTATTCAACGTCAATGAAATCTAAATAATGGAGTTTGATAAATAAAGAAGGCAATTCTGATGATTTAAATGACTCAATAAACTTCACTTTCATAACAGTAGAGAAATATTTTACAGCGCACATCACGGATGGCGAAAATAAATCACACTATCTAAATAAATCAAACAACTAGACTGATACTACTATATATGGTTGGTCAAAATTTGAGCTAATCAAAGGCCTATCTGCCAATTATTAGGCGAAAAAGTTCTTTTCGCGAATAAATATGTGCATCCAAAAATGGAAAAAATATTGCAGCTTATATCATTAATAACAGCAAAAAATTCTTTATTTTAGACTGGGTAAGAAAATGAATTGACAGAGAGATCGAAAGTAATAGGTAGACGGATCTAAAAAATATTTCACGCTCCTTAACATTTTCTACAAAAAAATCAATGCTAGCAATTTTTTAAATTGAACAAGATTAGCATTTATAGAGAGAACAAACAAGGTTAACAAGGAATAACACACCTCATCTTGAAAACGAATACACCAACTCCTAACTCATTAAGCTTATTTCAGGCAATACTATCAAATACTAACAACGTACTTTTCTAGCGCAAAATTGAACGGCCACATCGTCAATAGGTGTGCTTGAATTTTCCTTAGAATCAGAAGTAATGCGATATTTGATAATCTGGGCTATTTGATCTTTGGTGTAGGGAGGGAATGCAACATGGATTGGGCGATGTGCCCGTGCACGTAGACCAGGTAGAAGACGCTCAGTCAAATCGAGAGCGTTGGCGATTCCAATCAAGATTATGTGAGCCTCATTAAGATCATCAGGCCATCCAAATATCCTGTTTTGAAAAAGAAAAGTAATCATATCATAAAGGTGAAAAGGAAAGGAACTTGACTAATGTGACCAATCACCTGTACAGAACATCCTGACAACGAGATGCCAGTTGATCAATTTCATCTAGGACTAAAATGAGGGGAAGCCGTTGAGAGGTTTTGGTTAATAAAGACTCAACGAAGGAAGCAACTTTTTCTTGAGAGGAAAGATGGCGAGAAATACTATTTTCTCCCAGGCCCTCAACGATGCAAGTGTAGACGTCAGGAGGGGAAACCATTTGCATGCAATTGAGAAACAAAGACCGACAGCGGTTTTGAACTGAGAGTTGTTGAACTAGCTGAGTTACTGTGGCCGTTTTTCCAGTACCAGGGGCACCGCCAATGTAAATACTTCCGTTGCATCGCTCAGAAATAAAAAAAAGAATAGATGACTTGAGTAAATCAACTTCTTTCTCACGACCGATAACAGTCACAGGTGAAGATTCGACAGTAGTTTTATTTGATTTTTTAGGTGGTTCGGATAAACCAACTTGGTGTGGGGATAATTTAGAGGGCACTGGTAATTCCGTCAATTTACGATTTCTGGATTTGATGGAGTTAACATTGGAACAGCTATTTGAAATTTCAGATCTCCTAGACCTTAGTTGCATTATTTTACCTGAAAAGCAAATTAAAACATCAGATGGAACTAGTAAAGGTACAAGTAAGTTAAAACAGCACCCTAGAGAGACCGCTCACAAAAATCTCCAATAAATTGCAAATGTACCGCATGTAGTAGAGCAAAGTAGATTCCGATCGACATTAATCTTATTCTCAACGAAATATAATTTCCATCTCTCGTTCTATTTATTTTTTTATGCTTAATCACTACAATTATATATAATTTTTTATTCAATCAAATATAAATTATTACACCTTATACTTTTCAGTAAGCTTTTTAATATATTACCTACTCAAACTCCAGAAATTTAACTAATTGAAGATTATACAACGTGCACTCGAATTTTTAAAAATACTCGGACGAAATGCGAGTTATAAAGTTTGCGATTTCACTTTTCTTGAACAGTAATACTGCTTATTTTCAAATGTACGCATTCTAAAATTTTTTAATAAAATAAGATGTTGATCGCATAGATTTAAATCATAGGTAGAGCATCGTTTTATTTACTATCTTTTAAAGATTGTTTCAATGTTCGAATATCATTAATATTCATTTATGATTAACTCTACAACGTGTAGTCTGTTATAGCACTATGTTACTTAGTGTTAAACATATTCCCATTATTTCAAGTGCAAGCTCTGTTAAATTCTTCTATTTCTTAAGCAAACAAAATTATTAAACGAAATGGTTCGAGGTATTGACACGTCATCAAGATGATTGCTTTATTTTCTGTATACTGTGTATTGGATATCTTATTTGAAAGATTGGAAAATGACTTGAACGCAAACTAGATGACAATGTAAACATGACTAGATAACTGTTTATCTCATCTTCCTCGACGAGATATGCATTCTTATAGATGCATTAGAATGTCCCTAAATACTATATTTTGCACTTATAATATTAAGCTCTTTTAAATATCGTATTACGATGCATATCCCCCCTCTTTCCTTAAATTGCCGTATACCAACAATTAACTTTAAATTATTCAAATAAAAATGCAAAAAAATAATATGGATTTTTTTATGATTTTAAAGCATTATTGCCATTACCTCATGTTCATTAATTTATAATATTGGCCAATTGGATTCCTTCATTTGAGGTTGCCATTTGTTTCCTTTCACGCCTTCGGAATGACTGAGGTTGAATTGCAAGGCTCGGATGGAAGTGATATTGAAGAAGGTGAATATCAGGTGGAAAAGATAATCAAAGTTAGAATCCGTGGTGGTCGGAAGGAATATCTATTGAAATGGAAGGGTTATTCGGATGAGGATAATACATGGGAACCCGAAGAAAACCTTGATTGTCCTGATCTAGTTAAGGTATTTTTTGTATTTTTCTCTTTGAAAGTGACATTTTTTGGGAAATAATTACCGCTTTTTTATGCAGGAATTCGAAGAGTCTATGCTTAAAGAAAGTTCGGGCTTGGGTCGACCTTCACCCATTACCTCTAGGAACTCTCCACGTTCAAAAGCTGGAACTTCGCCTGAACCTTCGAGAAAGCGAGCACGTGAATCTGAAGAATACGCATCTGATCCGAAGCGGATTGCTGACGAAAATTCTGCTTCTAAAACTCCAACAAAAGTTGTTCGTGGATTTGCTAGAAATCTAAAACCTGATCGTATTATTGGTGCAACAGATTCAAGTGGTGAATTAATGTTTCTAATTAAGTGGTTGGTTGTTCTTTTTCATTTTATAGTCATTTATCGCTCTCTGGGATCTGAATTTTACTCTTTTTTATTGGCAGGAAAGATTCAAATGAAGCTGATTTGGTACCAGCAAGAGAGGCAAATGTTAAATGCCCTCAAACAGTTATTCGTTTCTATGAGGAGCGCTTGACTTGGCACTCTCCAGAATCTCGATATGAGCCTGCTCATACCACTGCGGTAACTTCATCCACTTCAACTCCAATTGGCGATTCTGCTGTTGCTGAAATTGCTGCTGAAAAGGAGACTTCGGAACCAGTACAAGCAATCGAGCCTGTAGCGTTAGCTCAGCCGGAAGAGCATGTGGCCGCCGAACAGTGCTAAGAAAAAATATTGCCATTTATATTATTTTGGATGTTCCAATCTTGTACATTTCACTTATTCTCCATCATCTTTGTGTCTGGTATTTTATATCCCTTTATTATACACGTAAATAAACTGTGTTTACAATTTTATTTGAGTCAGCTTAAGCCCGCTTCGTTTGTTTAAATGCCTTGTGGAATCATGATATTCTTATTTTGTGAGCCCTCTTCTTGGTTGCTATGAGTAATTTGTGTATTCTCAGTATTTATCTAGCAATATTATATAGTTTAAGATGAATTGCATTTAAGAGAGCAGGGTCCAGCTAGCTCTTCGGGTTAAACGAGGGTAGTTGTACGTGCGAATCAGGGCTAACTGAAACTATATTAAATGAGGCAGAGGTGTATAGTGAGGTTTGAATCCTGAAGCGTGAACAGACAATTCGGACAATTTAGCCCATCTCGAGTATAGGATTCAAATGAAGTGATGCTCTATTGTGCCATAACGTTACTCAACGTCTTTTTGGTCTCCTGATCCTCATAGTTTGTTGGACTTGCTGTTATTCGATGTTAATTACTACCCAAAATTTAGGTTTATAATTTTTTTGTAAATACAGGCAGTAATGATAATAAACTAAAGGGTAAAGAAACATTTGATAAAAGATGGTATCATAAAGGCCAATTTTATATTTTTTAGCTCTAACCGTTCACTTGGTAAAATTGAAGCAATAGGCAAAAGTAGCTGCCAATTTAATTCAGTTACCATAACGTCACCACTTGCCTTCTGAAATGCAGCCTCATTGTTCGCATAAATTCCGTGAACACGCAGTGTGCAAATTAATCATAAGTTTAATTTTTCGCTTAGACTTTATCTGCAAAGTATTGAAATTTGGGTTCTTCAGTGATAGCTTGCTTAAGTTGCTTGTCTCGCCAAATAATTTCAGAATCATGGTTAATTTCTAACTTCTAGATTAATTGTGGAGTGTGCAATCCTATCAATGCGAACCAAAGTTATTGCGCGCACTGGCATGCTCTGCATAATGAGGCCGTGCTATCGATCGTGTATTGAACGTGCAAGTAGTGTAGGCTTGGGCCATCCGAGTACTTAGCTGCGCTAAATGTACTTGTTTGCTGATTTGGCTTGGAGTCGATCATTCTTTGCAATTAAAAGTTATTCGTTCTATAAGTTGCTTCCTCAGTACTCTTGGCATGATTTCAGGATTGTTAAGGTTTCAGTCAAGGCCCATTTACGTAGTATCCACAACAGTATTTAGCAAAATGTATAATGTTTTATCCATTTAACCAAGGTAATGGCTAACTATGTAGGTGCCTGATTGGTTATAAGCAGAACGACATTTTAAATAACAGTCGGAGAAAATCTATGAAATGTTATTATGTAATCGGCAACAGGCACCAAAATTATTTATTTTGGGCTAACGTTTTAAATTAAAATTTCACAGTTCCTAGGGAACAGAATTCGATTCTTGATTTAAGTCTATTAATAATTCATTTCCTTCACTATACCCACCCGGTTATTATTTTTAGTGCAACTTACTTGTATGTAATTAATTAAAATCTGCATGCAATGGTCTATAATAATTATTTATTCTTCATTTTTCTAAAAAATTTAGATTACATTAGTTAAAATAAACTTTAACATTTGTTTCGAAATGTATCAGATTTCGAAACCATATTTAACAATGCTGATACATTTAAAGGTAGAATTATTCATTTACATAATTGTGTGAAGATTAAACGTTTCTCCAGTTAAAAATTCATAAGATTATTTTATTTATCTTAACTATCAGTCCTACAATTCACTTAACTGCAAATATAGTTATTAACAGATCTTTAATAGTAGCTCGATTTTAAAAATGCTCTCTTTACTTGGCAGATGAAATAAATCTGATAAATTTCGCAAATGCAAACATTAGTCATATAACATATCCTTTATGCCTACCTGCATGTATTTACTGACCTTACTTAGTAGATTTATAATGTCCCGAAAAATTTTGTACCCCGTTGAGGAATGAAATCAATGAAAGATTTCTGGTAGCAACCTTAATAGCAATGCATAGGAAAACACATGGAGCTCCGAAAAAATCCATTTTGGAAGCGGATAATACTATATAAAAGAATGAATCAGAAATATGCCAATTTTATTCTCTGACTGAATGTGTACCCCTAAAATAAGGGGACAGGTGTGGTGTAATGAACAACGAATGGCACAATGGTTTAGGATGAGATGGGATTAGAAAGAGACAAGTGAGTAATAAGGACAATCATAACGAGAGTCGCATGGTAAGATATGCATAAAAAGGCCAAGGACAACGAGAGTCAAATGATCATGGCATTGACATATATATATATATATATATATATATATATAA